ACATTGATTTGTAAAGAAAGTTTCGGCACTTGCAGAAGATCTATCGATTGTTGTAAGTTCAAAATAACGTTACTGAAAAACACAAACTTTGTTACAGAGAGAGTTTTGTCCACAAGACATGCTTCTTTGTGGATTTTACAGCGTTTTATTTCGTGTCGCACGCGCAGAAGCGGAAAAGTCAAATGGATCTATTTTGTTAGCGCATGATGTCGTGGATAATGAGCAGGGCACGGCATAGGTGGCTTACCAAGCAAGCTGTATCATTTTAGGAGGCAAAGCAAAGGGGATGTCGTTTTTGTGGAATAGCATACCGTTGTCTTTGGATATAGGGCCCGCATGCCGCCGGCACGCTGCCGGCATCCCGGCGGCATGCTCGCATGAACAAACAAAGGGGTTGTTTACAGCGAAGTGAAAATGAATTGACACTAAAATTGGTGTGTAGATGGGCAATGAGGAGCTAGGCCTATGCATAGAAGATCATGATAGATTATGTGAACTGAAGGCATGTTCAACTTTTTTCGGAGTTAGGTGGCTTTCAAGTCACCTAGAAGCCTCCTGGGGTGGCTTGGGAAAAAAAGTCATAAATTTACCCTCTCTCAGATAAATTTTCACCTTCTCTATAAAATTTCATCTACATCCCAAACCCTACAAATTGGTTCCTAAACCGCCTCAAACTCCCTCCTCCCCGCTTAGTCACAGCCCCCCGGAAATTTTGAATGCCGCCGGCAACGCTGCTCCATGCGCGTAGTGCTGCGAGTCGGATACATTATGCCGCCAATCCGGGGAAGATGATTACTATCGCCTTTGTTTGATGCTTCTTTGGCGTCTTTTGTTTCGCTTTGTTGCATTACTTTCCAAATGTTTTCTCTTCTAATATCTCATGGCGGATGCAGGATTTTCATAGTGAAGTCAAAGGGGACTTCGTTTTTTGCAGCAGAGCCCTGGTAATAAGCGTTGAGATTTCGGCGGAATTCATATAGAAATGATCAACTGAGGCTGTTTTAAAAGCTAATAACAAAGCTAGAACGGACTTGCACGAAGAATTGCGGCAGGAAGTTCCTAATTCGTCCTTTTCAACGAAATGTCAGTTTTCTAACGAGATGCCTTTTGAGTCTCTTCTTTTTGCACGGAGTGGGCCTAGTTGCTGCTTAGTCGTCTATCGTTTGGGTGCTGGTTTGCACATCTTTCGGAGGTTCAGGCCAGGTGATTCCCAAAAAATCTATCCCCTGTCGCAAAAAGATTACAGTCAGAGGAAAGTATAGCTTCTAATTTTTGTGCGCGTAAAATTGCTAGTATGAAGTTGAATTGCCCTTCACTCTTGAATCATCAGAAGAAGTTTAAATAGCTTTTCGTTTGCGGAAAATTAACAGCAATCAATTAATTAGCAGAAGGGAAGTTGCGAAATTTTTGTCGTTAAAAAAAATTCTATATCTAGTGTAGAAATCAAACATTTCGACAAAATTTAGAACTGTCATCATAGGCTCAAGCTTTATCCTACAAAGTCTTGCAAGAAATTTTGTACTAACACTTACAAGGAAACGATACTCGGTGTCCGTGGCTTTTTGAGATGAGTTGTATACTATTACACTCGTCTTAGAACGCTGATTCCGAATCTGACTTCCGTTTCTGCTAATCGCTTCAAAGATGTTATAAAGGATTGTGCGAGCTTTGGCCACCCACTGAAATACGTTCGAAGCGGTTAGGCATGGCTGTGCGGTGTGGTCTAGTGGTTAGCGCGATAGGTTCATGAGTCGACACAGGTGTAGGTTCGAATCCTTTTGTGTTTTTCAGTTTTACATTGCCTCAACAAACCTTCTTTCGCATCTTCGAGTTAACTGAACGCCCTTACTCTTCAAAAAATGTGGAAATTTGGAAAAAATTTACTATTTGCGTTAAAATGTATCCAATGACCATAATTCGAGTGAATCTCGAACAAGTTTGATTGAGATAGTGCAAAATAAAAACACGAAAGGATTTGAACTGCACCTGTATCAAGTTAGAGGCTATCACACCAACTACTAGACAATAACGTGGCGCCGGTAGAGACCGTCCCGGTGACCATACCCCCGGGGGGATAAAATTGGCTCGAAATTCCTCCATAACTTCCTTTATAGAAACGATTAGCAGAAACGGAAGTCAGATTCGATATCAGCGTTCGAAGGCGAGTGTAATAGTATACATCTCGTCCCAAAAGGCCACGGACATTGAGTATCGTTCCCTTGTTAGTTGAGCGAAAACTGAATTGAAAAATAAGATTTTCCACGCTGCCGACGAGCTCTTTTTTACAAATTAATGAGTTGTTGTGAGCTTTCTTTTTATTTTTATTCTCTTCTAGGTATTTTTCATTTTTATACAAATTTTAGGATAACTGCGTGCTTTGAGTGAGTCGTTTCACTATTTCACTATCTCAACAGCATTTCAATGACTCTAACTGCATGTTCTTGATGACTCTAACCGCATCTTAGTCCTGCTTCTTCGTTGTGACTGAAGCGTCAAAGCTAGGAGAATAAATGAAGAGGTGGGCGCAAAGGTAAATGCTCTTGGTTTTCTTCTCGATTTCTTCAAGGTTATACATGCTCCACGTGCAGCAAATTTCCTGCGGCTTAATTGCAGTTAGATTACTCATCATTTTGATATCGCGACCCAGTTAGATGCAGTGGCATACCCAGGATTTCCATTTGAAGGGGGAGGGGAATTTTAGATAGAGGGGTGTGTCGTTAGCCACGCAAAAATTTTCTGGGATCCCTCCCAAAATTTCGTGGGACCATAATCACGAAATGTTGGGAAGAAAGGTATGGTTGGAGACACGCCCGAAAAATATTTTACACAGAGCTAACTTGAATTTTTGTCATCTCAGTCAAGCGTATGCATGACTTCAATGAGGCCGGCGTTAGCTTCGGCGATATATAGTAGTAGGTATTTCCTTGTCGACCCACTTTGATGATGATGTCTTATATAACCTTTATGTTGTTCGCAAATTTGAATATTAACTTTTTAATAAAGGCAAAAGATCCTTTTCTTGCTTACGTACGGGTACACGATCACTTTGGGGGCTTCCTGTATTGACATCCCTACAGGGGAGGCGATCGCAGCTCAAAAGAAAGCTTTATATCCTGAATCCCCAGTCTGGATTTTACACTGTCTATCCATCCGTAAGTACTCAAACTATCTTTCCGTCGGGGATTATTATGATTCCATACCATATTTCTTCTTATATTATTAGTGGGTCTAAAGCTGCGGATCTTGTTATCTACCATCTACTTTTGTTTTCGAGGCTGCGGAGTCAATAGTTTGAGTAAATATAACTAGTCTTCGGGCCTCTGCGTCATGCTCTATGCTGTATTCCGTTCTGAATATTTTGTATAATTTATGCAAAGGGTTCATTCCTCATCAAATCTTACGCTGCATTATCTATTCGTTCATCAGGAATCCACCGCTTGAGGTAGGATCAAAACGTTCAATCATTGTTTTTTCACGTCTTCGCATTGTTGGCTCTTACTTCCATAATTATTTGGTCATGTCGAATGCCTCAGTAACGTATTTATTCAGGAGACCTTGTAATACATAGTCCATTAATACTGAAAACCATTCTCATTTTAGTCAGTTCTCACTATTATCTACACTTTAAAGTGCACGAGATTTTACTTTTGTTACATATGTACTTCTTAATTTATTTTTGGAGTCTCACAAATCAAGGGATAATGCTTGAGCAAGGCTTGAGAAAGCTTCGCTTTCAATCAAACGATTTGTCTGTTTCATCCAATTTCTCCAGTATTGTTAGCCAGCCTCATTATGTCTTATTTTCCAATCATCTACTGGCTTTGCTTCCGCGTTACACTCTGCCTTTCGCTCGTAACCCTTCAATATCAGCATCATTCAGCATCGACCTAAAGCTCAGATGTGATGATAACGAAACAAAAATTAACAATAAGTACCATCGTAAAGTCCAAAGCTCTAAAACAATAGCAGCTTCGAAGAATGACGCAACTGCAACTAAGACGAATCACCGGGACTTCCGTAAAACAAGCAAAATTTGCAGCGGTCCCAGAACTTTCTTTACCTTACAAAAGTGGAATTGTTGGAAATGGGGACTTCCGCGGGATTTTCACTTCAGACTGGTTGAAAATGATCTGACGATCTGAAAACTTCCGCGGGACTTGTTATAAAATGTTGCAGAAATTCCAAAAAATGTCAGTAGTTCCGCAGCACTTTAGTCTGCCAGTACTTTCGCAAGTCTTTGAATGGATTGTCTCTTGCAATATTGTCTCGCCAACAACTGGAGTGTTTTCTTGAACATGTCATAGTGCAAAGGACAGTGAGCGAGTCTCGCAGTCAGTAAAGTGAGGTTCAATCTCGGTTAGATGTTCTCTTTTGCTGTTAGGGTTCGCATTTTTCAAAACTTCCGCAAACCTCATTTGGGAATTTCCGCAGCACGATTAGGAAACTTCCGCAGGTGACGCGGCGGAACTTTCTCAAACATTCTGCGGAAGTTCCGGTCAGTTGTCTGAGAAGGTGATTTTTCTTAAACCACCTTGATCTAAGTTTAGCTCTTGCTCTAGAATCCGAGCATCTTTTTTGTTGGAGATTATGAACTAGAGCAGAGTGCCATGAAAAACTTGACGCTTTTTTAGTAACAGGCTAATCCCCCATTCGCGGGATGTATTCATTGACTTTCAGAATTGATTTGCTCTACAACTTCCTAAGTATCGCATTTTCGATCTTCTTTGTTATAACAACAGTTGAGCTAAATATTGAGCTAAAAAAAGGACCGCTTCGTTCTTGCTCTTCATCCATACGTTCTGAAATTTTTGAAATTATATTCTTGACAGCTTCTTTTTCAGTCGTATAAACAGCGCATTGATGTCTTTCGCTACACTCTTTGGTTTTCAATTATATCCGGATTTTCAGACTTCCCACATTGCCCAACCCGAATTATAAGGTGCTGGTAATCCTCTCATTCATTGACTGTTGCTGTGTGATTTGCTTACTGCTACTCCGAAATGACAATCAGTTATTCGGATACATTCGTGAGGCTACTATTTCGATGGAAAGGCTCACTCTGGAAAGCTATTTGGAGGCATCTGCTTGTATTTCTAGTTCTGTACTATGCTATTAATGCAGCTTACCGGTGAGTTATCTCACATTCTATCTCAGACAACTGACCGGAACTTCCGCAGAACGTTTGGGAAAGTTCCACCGGGTCATCTGCGGAAGTTTCCAAATGAGGTGCTGCGGAAGTTCCGAACAATGCGAACCACAACAGCAAAAGAGAACACCTAAGCGAGATTAGAACCTTACTCTATTGACCGCGAGACTCACTTACTACCCTCTGCACTACGGATGACATGTTCGTAATGCACCCTAGTTGTTGGCGAAGCAACATCATACGAGACAACACATTTAAAACCCTGCGGAAGTACTGGCATGTCAAAGTGCTGCGCAATCGCTAGCATTTTGCGGATTTTCTGCAGCATTTTGTGACAAGTCCTGCGAAGTTCCCATTTTCAACGTTTCCACTTTTGCAGTAGTAAACAAAACCCTGCGAAACCGCTGCAAATTTCGCTTGTCCTGCGGAAGTTCCAGTAAATTGTTCGAGATAGAACAAAAGTCTAAAAAACAGAGTACATCTGAAGCACATTTTTCACCACATTATTAATTCAACACGATAAATCTCATCAATGATAGGCTCGTGACCAAAGAGAACTTAGCAGACTCCTCAAGTTTATGTTAGTGGATGCACTTTCACTGCACTTGAATGTTTATACAAAGTTTGTAGAATAATGTAAATCTTTATAAACATGACATGAGCTGTGTCAGCTGTATGCGAAGGTGCTAAAGGTGAAAAGTGTATTTTTATAACATTCCATGCACTTTAGACGAGTCGCAGGGAAATATTCTTCAAATGCTCAAATCTTATTGAAGGGGTCCAAAGGATTGACTAACAGAAAAGAGTGACTGGAGGCTTGGATATCAAGTTGATGATATTCTCGTTTGCAAAAAAATCAATTCTTCAAATGCGTCATGTATTCCGTGCAACGTATCATTTTTTTATCTTTTTTATTAACTATGAACTCGACATCCAAGTGACTCTAAACGAGAAGGATTGGCCCACCATAACCTTATACGTCTTTCGAAAGCGAGCCCCCTGTTTGTGGGCCAGCGAGCCCGGGTGCAAAGGCTAGCAGTCCATAACCCAGGGAAAGAAGTGAAGGTTCTCGAAAGGACAATAGGGCATACAAAGAAAGGAACAATACAAATAAAAATCCTCGGAAGAGGGGATGGGTCATAAAGCTCCTAGGAACCTCTCGATCACAAGTAAGGATATTGAAGGTGTTATAAAGTCTTTCTAAAACTGGTGCTCGCTTCTTTTAAATATCGAGCTTGACTTAGGAAAAATATTTTTGGCAGGAAGCAGCGATCATGAGTATTATATCAAAGCACCTGAGTTACTTGCTCAGCAAAGACCAGAAAAATACACAAAACATGAGAAACAAAGCGTCTGTAAAGAATAAGTCTAATTGCAGATTTTTGATGACCGTGGATCAACGTATGATTTTTGGGAGATACGTTATACTTTTTGATAGTTGGACAAAAGAGATTCCGTTGACTTTCTTGCTTGGTTTCTATGTAGCTATGATTATTCGGAGGTAAGTAGAGTGAATCACAAATTCTGCAAGTATTATATTACTTTTTCAGGTGGTGGGCTTGTTGCCAACTTATAAGCTGGCCAGATCATTTTCTGTTTAATGTATCTGCACTTATTCGAGGCTCTGATGTGAGTGATTTTTAGTGAAAAAATTATGGCATTGATATAAAAAATATTGTGTAGGAGGAGACACGAATTATTCGCAAGACTATAGCACGATACACTGTTCTTGCGTCAGTGCTTGCTTGGAGAAGCATATCATTGCGTATTCTTACGAGGTTCGTGTTTTTATCAAATTTAACTCAAATGCGGACAAAGTGCCATTCAGATACATAATTTTTTCGATCCATAAATTACAGCATTTTCTCTACGACAGGTATCCAACAGATGATCACCTCCTGGATTCTGGGCTAATGACGAAAGAGGAGTTAGCAGTATTCAGGACAGTGAATGTCAAAGTTGATCCACATCAGGTAAGAATGGTACCATAAGCTTTGAGTTTAATATTTACGCACTGGAAAACATCAATTTTTGAATTTTGAATATTTGGATTACGCGTTTACTCTGTGATAGACCTTGCAGTAAGTACAATTTACAAGATAATTGTAAAGTGCTTGAAAATGCTGCTCAATTTTTTCTAGTCATTCTATGGTATAAATTTTTCACCCATTTTTTCTGTTCACGCTCTTTCCTATTTTGCACCTCGAACGACTTCAGAAATGGTTCGTTCCACTAAACTGGATACAGACAATGATGGTGCGATGTTTCGAAAAAGGCACGCTTGGACATACCAACGAGCTTAGATCTCTGCTGGATGCTCTTGAAAAATACCGTAACGGCTTTTTCCAGCTGTTTATCTACGACTGGATTGCGATTCCATTAGTTTACACTCAGGTGAGAGTAATTCTCTAGGTGTTGAGTGTATATCATTCATTTATTTCATGTTCGCGTAAGCGTAACAGAATGAAGGAAAAAACAGAAACTTCTTGGAATTGAGATCATTTGTTCAAACGCATCTGCTCTATCGTTTCTACTTTTTCTTTTTTTCAAAAATTATCTGTTAAATTCAGAACCTCCATAAAAGTCCTTGTTGTCTGTGCTTTCAGTAGCTCATTTCAGGTATCGACGATCTCTGTTTATGGGTACTTCGCGTTTGCCCTAATCGGACGCCAATTTCCCAGTCAAAACCAATATGGAGAAGTTGTTGATATGTGAGTGATGAATTTTCAAACAAAGGCTGTATTTTTTAAGAAAGCCACAAAAATATCGGCATTACAACTTAGGTACATACCAGTGTTCACGATACTGCAATTCCTCTTTTTCGTTGGTTGGTTGAAAGTTGGAGAGGATCTGATGTTTCCGTTTGGTGCGGATGACGAAGATTTTGAGTTCAATTACATACTCGAGCGTAATTTGGAGGTAATTTTTTCCTCTCTGCTGCAGTGATAACCGAATTTTATGATTTAGATGGCATTGCTAATTGTTGATGAGCTCCATAATCAAGTACCACCAATCTACGTGGAATCCCTCAATGACAAAATGCAGGTATGTTTTGGGTCATTTGTAATTTATTACCCGTACAAAGTGTATATTCAGTTACTTCACACTCGAGCTTCTGTGAAGTTGCCAAATCATCCTCAACGACAGCATTTGAGGAAATACAAGATTGATGAAGAAGAGATGAGCATATGTAAAAACAAGCCTTTTGTAAATACAGGTAATACTATTATTGAGTGGTGATAGTTCAAAATGTGCACTTGCTAAGCTCTACAAATTATGTAAAAATTGCAAACTCTTCAAGCAACACTCTCTAGCTCAATCTCACAATATTTTAACGCAAGAATTAGTTTTTTTTATGTTTTAACTAAGGTTATGGCGCTGTCAGTATCAACTTTGAGTTCTCGGAAACATCTCGAACCATTTTTTTCATAAAAGCAAATTTGAGCAGAAATTATGATTTAGTCTACACAACCAAACATCAGATCTATCCACAATGATGACGGTAGGTTCATTCTCCACATCCATCCTCCATCTACTCGATTGCTCTAGGGGATCACGTAAATTTCTGAATAGCCAATAAAATAAGGGTGGACCTCTATCTACTTGTTACATTTTCAAATATGCATTCATTATCTAGGATGTCCAAAAAATAATTCAAACTTATCCATAAGTTTCTTTTAAAAGTGTATTCTGCCATTTTTTCTAAAGATTGTGATTGTAAATCCAGCTGTCCCAAAGTATTCAAATTTTTGATTTCCTTCCAAAATTTTTTGCGTTCAAGTCACGACTGGTTGACCTTCTATGTTTCAAGTTGTCGAAACGATTAGCATTGTGATTTTTCTTGTGATGCACACTTTGAGATTAAATTTTGTAGGGGAATACATCCGAAGAATTTATATGTTCCAGGTATCAAATACAGTATGACACCCGTCAAAGCGAGTGAACTTTCTTCCTTTGCCGATTTTCAAAATTTGGCAAACGGACCACATGAAAAGAACGGAAATTCCAAGGCTTGATCAGAATGGAAGCACAAAGAATGTGTGGAGAAATGACGGATGAGGAGTCTCGATTGGAAATAACACAATCATTTGCCGTGTTTTAAATTCCTATCGACCTAGTCTTTGTTCATATTTATTCTATTTATACGTCTACTTTTGCACGCGAAATTGCAAGATGCTGTACTGTCTTTCACGGGTATCATTACAAATCATCTTAAACTTGATAGATTTTCATGAAGTCTCACTATCCTTTGTTGAATTTGATGAGATATAAATTATCGATTTCATATATTGCATTATTGCTAAGATATAAATACAAGCATTTTCGATTCTCTATCTGGTTCACATGACCCGCAAGCCTATTCTCCTAGTCATACGACTACACATGTAACAACAAGCAATAAAAGAAATTTGAAATTCAGAAAATTACGTCTTTTGTAGAAAGTGCAAAAATATCGATGGTCTGCTCCCTACCATAGAAGCACTTCGTTGGCAGTTCCTTTCTCGTAAGCTTGTTACAGGTCTCAAACAGGCTTTGATCTTTCTTGCGACCCTTTCAAATCATGTATTTCGATACTCTTGAAAAAAAGAACTCAAACTTCTTCTTCGTTGGGAAAATCAAGCAGTCTGGGAACATTTGTAGCTTGTTGCATGGTTTACACACTACCAGAAAATGAGTAGATCATATGCAATAACTGAGAAGGTTTCAAATTAGAAGACCTCTTTGCCAATCTAATGCTTAAGAGCTGGTTTTTATTCCACAAAAATGGGCTTGTATATATTCGGTCGGTCAAATGATAACAATCATGGGGGTAATGTATAAAACTTCTGCGGATACTGAAAGTGATAATTTTTATTCAAAGCAGAATTCCACACCGTTCCATGCACAACTTGCGCATTTTTTTGTTTACCAAATAGTCACAGTTGATACGACATGTGTCCATTTGTTTGATAGCCTGAAAAGAAAGCGGACTGAGAGTAAGGAGCCAATAACTAATCGAAGGAGTTCTCAATGGTCTTGCTAAAGCGAAACAAACGAATAATGTAAGGCTATAGAGTGGTCTAAAAAGCGATATGTTTCAAATTTAGATTGAAGAAAAAACTGCAGAAGTAGCTTACTGCCTAACAAAGATGATATATGCGTTGCGCGATCTTTTTGCAAATCATTGAAATTTATCTTTACCGCTGTCACAAGATCATAGTTTCTTCGCAGATTTTGAGTACGCCGGCGAGGCACATTCCCAATCATAAGGTCCCGACCAGACTTCGCCCAAAAGCCCCCAAATTTCTTCAAACTCTCTTCACTTTCTCCATCTCTTCCCATATGAGAAAGAGTGATGAGAAATTTGGGCGCTTTTGGGCACTTTTGAGCGAAGTCTAGCCGGGGTCTAAGTTGATTCTGTCGTATAATGGTTCACAATTGTGCTCTTACCTGAATCAAGACGCATAACAACAACAGCACAAAGATGACGCGTAGCAGATGCGACATTTGTAATCTGTAAGTATAAAATTTATTTTATTCTATTGCGAAATGAAGAATGTGCGAAGAGTAAAAAGACTGAAATGAAAGCAAGTTATTTGATATTATGTTGGCTAATAATAAGTTCGTTTTGGCACGCAAATCTGCAGACACAAAAATTTCTCTCATGGTTTTTATCCATGTTTTTTGTGGGAAAGTAGTTCAAAGATTTCTCTATCATATATCAAATATTTAGAATCTTTCATCAATAAAGACAGTTGTGCCTCAACATGGCTGAATTTCCAAAAGCTCAATTCTTTGAATTACTAAGTTTCGTTTTCATGCTGTAATAGATGTAGAGAACAGCAGATTGGTATTTAGATACAAAAGGGTTTTCCCTATTTAGTGAATAATAATGAAAATTGAATCTGCCATTTTGAAAGTCTCTTATAAAAAAAATCAAATTTTCGAGTTTTTGCGCACTATGAGAAAAATGGGATTTCTCACTTTTCTGTGGAATTTTCGCTTTGGAAGACAAGTTCTACTCAAACAAAATTGATGCTCAAATTCCAGTAAGAGCGCTATTTCCAGAGATACCAAAGATTGGATAAAAATTTGTCTGCAACATTTGTAAGAGTCGCAAAAGCACCAAACTTAGTTATGTGCCAACATAAAAGAAGATGTGAAAAAATCCAATAAAATAGACAGATATAAGAAAAACATGAAGTAAAGGATAGAACTGGCAATTCAATAAGAATTTTACCAGAAAAGAAACAAATCAAGCGATAGCATCAAACTACCGAAAAATGTGACTGAGAGAAGATATATGAGGAGCAGACGAATCGAAGTTAAACTGTCTTTCATATCTTTACTAGTCACTATGGGTGGCTATTTATCAGTTTGCATTACAAGAACGTCTGCTGTTCTCAAAGACTAATGGATTGAGAACTTCTGGCGCTTAGTCAGCGTCAGCTGTTATTTGAAGATCTGCCCAATCAATGAATTTGATAGCATCGTAAAACTCTATGTTTTCGATGGCATCAGTTTATTCTGTGCGTTAAACGATCCTATACGATGTGAAAAACAGAACAAACTAAAATTAGGATGTTTATATGTAGATGTAACAAACCAAACCTGCTTGGACATCTCTCCTCTAGAGCAAGATAAGCCGAAACTACGAGAAAGATAAAGAGTGCGCGATTAGAATAATAGCATGTGTGATATTTTGTAAGCGTTTTCTCAAAGATTTAGAATTTGCAGTTTTTTGATACCGGCATTTTTGCACTTAAAAAAGCCATGTGATCACCCTAAAGTACGCGCTTAAAGGTGTATAAGCAAGAGTTATACGTTATCGTAATAGCATCGTAAAACCAAAGAAATTTTGACATGAAGCTTCTCGCCACCGAAGGGGCATCAGTCTGACTACTGTGTCTTATTTATTTATTGAATGCAAAGAAGTGCGCCTATCATAAAACAGCGGAAAACTAAGTAATAGTCAGCAAGAAAAAAGAAGAAGAGACTAAGTCTAGACAGAAACTTGAAATCAGCACTGGTAAAACGCTCTCAAATCTTTTTTACAATTTTTTCCCAACTAGAATTTTTGCAATCATGTCCACAATTTTTCAGTATTCCTATGCCAGATCGTTCGTCTGCAATGTGGTACTGTTATGACCTTCGACTGTCATTGTTTCGTTTTAGTTCATGCCATTTTGCAAGGCTTGCGATAATACGGTAGACGAGGTTACGAATTCAGCTGAAATTTGGTCTAGAGGGTAGATCGAGTTGCTCTAGAAGTTTCTGCCCTCCTTAAACTTTTTTGTGTTGTTAGTTTTAGGAGACACTACATTGCTAATAAGTTTGTGTCACCTAAAAATTCTTTTTGTCTACTTTTTTGGTGTATTCCCTCATAATCATAGGACTTTTTTGAAATTATGCACGCGACAACAGTGAGAGTGGAAATTCAACTTATTGCTTTATTTCCGAAAAATCTACATAAGGAACGGATATTTCATAAACATGTTGATATTTTCTGAGATTTTTTGCTACAAAACGCTTATCGAGATAAGACTTTGAAAAATTTCAAAGTTATTTCTGGCACGTTTGCGACATATCGCTGCAATCCTTATAAGTCGCAAAATACCTGCATCAAAGATTCCACTGCATACAAAGCGATTGCTCCTAGGAGTTTTAAAATTGAAGAAAATTAAAGAATTTTTCGTTGCTAGCAGAAAAACTCAAAAAACTACTTCTGTCATTGTCACTTTGGGCCAAATGCATGATCAGCTCAAACGGAGCTTAAAGGCAGTGTCTCACTAGAATTTGGATCTCGGGATTTTTGCAAATTACAAGTCTTCTCGACCTTGTGTAACCCTAAACGGGCTCTACTTTGCGCAAAAACCCCGGAAACCCCGTTTTTGAAACCTCTTTAGAATCGACGCGGACGAGCTTTCCAGCTTCACTCCAGTTCTGGCCGCAGGAATGAACACGTCAAGAAGGATGGCGTCGCCTGGAAGACGTGTTGAAACGCGATAAAGGAACGGAGAATTCGTCCAGCGCGAGCCGAAATTCGCTCCGCGAGCCACTTTGAGCCGAATTTTCTCGATGTAGGAAAGGCCTTATAAAGTGGGACTTGGGCATTGGCCTAGTAAGGGGGTCCTCCAATAAACTTCGTGAAAATCTGGTATACTCTAAATCTGGTGAGACACTGCCTTTAAGAGAAAAACTCATGTTTTGAAGCTTCCGATGGATGCAATCAGTACTCAAAGGTTTTTACTATCTTTATCTGTCCCCAAGGTTTTTACTATCTTTGATCATGAAGACATACGACAGAGCGTACAGACAAAAGCGTATCGTTGTTTTGGGGTTCTTTAAATTCTTGTAAGACCCCAACGACATTTCGTCTCTTCTTGAAGTTATTTACCTTTCTTTGGGAAAAATGAAAACATCACAAGGTTGTGTGCTTGAAATTAGGCTTAAAATCTCGGAATATTAGTGATTGATTCCAAAAAAGAAGCGGTCAATCGCTGTGAGTCCGTCATTCCAAAGTGATTATAAGATTTCACTTGCCACTTGAGATATTGCTTTCGCAATTGCGTATCTGAGGTTTGGCGATCGCGGACGATTACAAACGTGATGGTTCGAAATAAAATGCATGAATTCGCTACACCCAAGCCACCATTGATGGCCATAACAAACTGAATCAACCGGCACAGGGGAAGACGAGCATCGAATTCAAAGTTTAATTTGAAGAGCATGCGTACTTTATCTAGATTTTGGTAAATTTGCATTTTTCGCAAGTTTATCTTTTTTATGCTGAACTTTTGAACGAACCTTAAATTTTTTACGAACGAGGAGATAAAATCTATGTTGTTCATTTTTCAATAGCATGAACTTATGAAAAAAAAATCGAAAAAGACATTTATTGATTGCATAATTTTACTCAAATGAGCAGATAGACGTCGTATTAGCTGACTCCTCCAACATCGAACTTGACTTCAACACCAAACTAAAAGCTGAATATTAGTCATCCAAAGTACTTATACAGTTTACTGCGTTAGTCTACTTGAGCTGACTTTGAAACTCATTTGGGAATTTTGTTGAAATTTTGCCCTGAAAACTTTTGATATGCCTGTTTCTGGAAATCGGCGCCTAACGGCGAATCTTGCAATATTTTCCATGCAAATTTACAGCATTATGAGGTGCTTGAGAATCGGCGGCGATATATATTCCTACAGATTTTTTTCGAATAACTCAGATACTTGAACTCTGCGAATAGATTCTGCGGTGCAGATCTGCTGTCGAACATTGTAATTCGCCAAATAGTGATTTTCCAGAAAACCGTCTGTCTATTATGCCACAAACTGACACCATCAGTTTATACGAATAATTCGAGAAACATCCTTTTAAGAGATGCTCTTGCAAGAAAAGAGGTTACGATGGTATGGGCATGTGCGCAGAAGGGATGAAAGTCACATCACGAAGTCAGCCTTGGCTGTGGAGGCGCCAGGCAAACGACCCAGAGGTAGACCCAAGATGAGGTGGATGGACAGAATCAAGGCCGACCTGCGAGAACTTGGTTTAGATGAAGACCTTGCCTCAGATAGGACGACATGGAGACGTCTCACAAGAAAAGCAGACCCTGTGTAAGCGGGACACATGCGAGGATAAAAAAATCCTTTTAAGAGGTGCTCTATAGAGCAGCTCAAGGTTAATGCCACTAAAAGTGAAATTGGAGTAGCTCACTCATTTTATTTCTCAATGCGGCTGCCTGCAGACAATTTTTATGTGTGGCTTAGATAATTCATCAATAAGTTTGAATAAAACATCCTACCCACAAGGCGTAACCAGAAGTTTGCGTTACATCATGAACACATGATAAGTAGAGGTACTCAGACTTGCAGTAGGACCAAGTACAGATCTCTTTAATATCAAGAATTTGGCTACTGTTAGAAGGTCTCTTATGGACTTTAAACACCTTGCCGTTAGAATCAGTACAGGCTTGCAAATGCGGTTAGATCTAGGGAGATGCGGGTTATCGTTATGTTAAGTAAAGCCTGATCCCCGTTTAGGGACGTTCGATCCAAACTTCGCAGGAGTACTACCCAATTTTATTTGATCTCCAACAAAACTTCGAAGAAGAGCTTACAAGGGAAGGATACTAACTTAGAATTCGCTTTTCGAAATGGGACACATATTTTTGGAAACACCTTTGAATGCTGATTCCAAAAATGCTGTTACTAGTTGCTTAGCGTTATTTCAAAGCGAGTTATGGGCTTGCTGTTGTGAGTAATCAACAAACTTCTTAATGTCGTAAAACGGCGTGTAGATAGATCTGCTCGAAAAAAGTGCTAGTATGTTGAACTAGCGTCAAATTAATTTTTTCGATCTTGAAAGGGAGCATTATACAATTGCAAAACCGCCTAAGCGTCGACACCGTAGCATCAGTAGGTCGAGGAGCACGCAAACCTTGCGTAGAAAAGAGACCATAACTCGCTTTAGAATAATGCTAACAAGGGAATGGTCAGAAGTCGAAGTGGCCAATCCATACACGCTGCATATCATTAGATGCAGCATAAAACGCTGACTCTAAATCTGTCTTTCCTATCTGCAGAGCGCTTTTGTGAACGAAATTATAAGCCGTTAAATGTCATTATTTTGCTAAGAAATTGTGCGTGTAAAGTGCAAACTTGGCCGAACAAAGCCATTCTCGGCTCAGTGTTGGACTAAAACACGCATTTAGGTTACTTCATATGACCAGCACCTAGAACTGAGCTGAACGAGCGATAATGTGCCTAATTTCGCAATTTTTGTGTACGATTTTCCCGCAGTAAAGCTGCTCATAACTTCGCCTACAAAGGCGCTCTGCAGATATGGAAGATCGATTTGAAATCAGCATTTTATGCTGCATCGAATGGTATGCAGCTTGTATGGATTGGCCACTTCGACTTCTGACCATTCCCTTGTAAGCAACTAGGAACAGCACACTTGGAGTCAGCGTTCCAACTCAGACAGTCGAAGGGATACCTCAGGCGGGCGTATGGCGCGAGTCTGCCACTTCGCGCTCCAGAGCCCTGCCATTTTACGCATTTTTGTGCTCCGGGGCTCTCCCAAAAGTGGCGCACCTCCGGAGCAGAGATTTGCGCGTCGCGGAGAGAGGTCCCATTCATTCACCGTGACGTCACGGTGACGTCACAAACAGGGCGAATGGGATCCCTTTCCGGGACGCGCAAATCTCTGCTCCGGAGGTGCGCCAGTTTTGGGAGAGCCCCGGAGCAGCAAAATGCGTGAAATGGCAGGGCTCCGGAGCGCGAAGTGGCAATCCTCCGCCGGGGAAAGCCCGCGACCCTGCCACTTCTGCTCCGCAGGTATCCCATCGACTGTCTGAGAAGCTGATTCCTAATATATGTGCTTCATCTCAAAAGGCGAATCTAATTCAGTATCCTTCCCTTTTTAGTCAATTGGAGTCTCGCTATATGCAGCGGGATAGTGTTTGCGCTGGAGTTGACCTGACCGGATCGGTGAAATGTTCTGGCTCAAAATATCTATTTGGAAGGTAACATCAGGAGCTAAAAACAGAGTTTGCCAGATCGTAAAATTCCAACTCTTAGATTGCTATCAACTAGCCATTATTGGAGGTATCATATAATTTGAAGCTATTCCGTTTCGGACCTATTTTTTTCAAAATGTTCTCATAACATACGTGCTTGAGCTTAGAAAATTTTCTACATAAATTCTATGAGAACCATATCCTTGCTACGCGTTAAAAGCAAAGTCTCACCAAAATTTGGTTATCGAACTTCTTGCATATTGCAAGCCTTCTCGTCTCTATCTAACTCAATGCGGGTCAAAAATCGTATAAGATGTACGAAAACCCCGTTTTCTGAAATCCCAGTGGAAGCAAAGCGGACGGGTTGTGGCTTCTCAGCCTAGCCTTCGTCATAGCGACAGCAACACCATGGAGGTGGACACCAAGCGGAGGAAATGTTGAAACAGTAAGAGGGAAATCATGAGCGTCAGCCGTGCTGGCCAAATCGCCCTTTGCGGGCCACTTTGAGGACAGATCTCTCGCCGTAGAAGGGCTTAGATCGAGTCGAAGTGAGCCCTTCTACGGCGGGGCGCTCGCCTATTCAGGGAGGCCTCTAATAAAATATGTAGAGACTAGCACTGTTTTAATTTTGGTGAGACACCGCCTTTGAAGAAATCAAGATGTTTGGGCATAGTTGCCTGGCACCAGCTGGCAGGGGGCAAGCTGATATTGTTTTGGAACCAAAAGCAAATGGGATAACGTTTTTGTGGCAAAAATTGCGACGTTTTTTGGTCGACGTTTCGTTTTTTGAGGGATTTAGGGTTTAAAGTCAAAGGGGACTTCGTAATTAGGGAAAGTCAAGCGGGACTTGTTTTGGAAGTCCCCTGGTGCCAGGGGCCGAGCTCTGACCCACTTTGACATATTTCCGGCGAGGTGCAGCACTCGACTCAAAAGCTGTTCAGCGTCAAGTCATCCTGGTCGCTTTCAGCAATGCTTTAAAAATATATTCCTTCTTAAATTCTTCGTCATGCTATAAATGATTTTGAAGTTTTTGGATGTTTTGACTTTCAGATTATAGAACAATAGCCCATATTTCTGTCCGTTCAAATCTAACGTATTCATTGAGCAGGATGTCATTTTTTATGTTAATGTTTACTTTTGAAACTGCTGAATAACAATGGGGTCATTGTTGATCAAAACAAATCTTACATTGCTAGGTAGTCAAACAAAGTTTTGGTAAAAACTGTTAAGCAAGTAGATGACATGTCAATTTTTTCTGGAGCGTGACAGGAGGATGACACTCCATCCTTTGAAATTTTGACCAAATTTGGTAAGGATGGAAGCAATATCTATCGTGCAAAGAAGGTTTGGGAAGTAGTCTTTATTTCTTCTAGTTATAATCAGACGTTTCAACTTCTTTCGTCTTTTTCGGATGCCTGAATGGTTCCAAGCATAAGTGCTATTCGCGACTCCAGACTACTAAGCGTCTCCCTCAAACTCAGCTAGTTTTCTCGGCTTTCACACAATCTCGCTACCAAATAAGATGTAAATGTAGCAGGACATACCGGAAGCCACGCTACTTGAGTTGTCTGCACCGGAAATAGGCAGCGGCAGCAGACGGGTGAATTATACTGCAGATATACACAATGATGATCTACAGTTATAGAACATGACGATACGATATAGATCCTGTGCAATCTATTCGAGCAGCGGTGGTCTTCAGGTATTTCTTGCTGAATTTGCATTTTATTCGTTAGAAAAATTGTGAGAAGGACGAAAATTGATAGAATTGGAAGCTTGGTGGTCTGGGGTTACGGATAATGCTTAAAACTCAAAATGAAGCTCATTTTGATTAATCACCAACTGCAAGCGGGTCTGTTATATGTAGCGATCACATTCCGATCTGCTTGGAGCCTATTGGATAAGTTTGCTTGCAGCATGCAGGAGCTTGGAACTGCAATGCAGGAGCTCACTTGGAAACTGATTTTGGGGGCCTCACTAGTCGGTTTCACGGATGAAGCGGAATATTCTACGAGGAGCGGCGTGTGCGCATCGCTGGAGATTTCGCGAGCGCATAGCGCTGGCATTTTGCCAAGCAAAGACTGAGAAAAATGAAGAGACGCAGACGTGGGTTCTCAGCACGCTATGATATACTGTGGCTGCTAAACGATGCGAGCCGTTGCGAGGCGGACGCCCACCAATCCAATTTCCGCCTAAAGCGGGTCGAAACTTACTGTAAGGCAATGCCCAAGCGGCAGCGCAAATGATTCAATCACGGTTGAGAAGTACGCATTCGAACTGGACCCCGCACTAGCGGTCGGCTTGCATCGTGCTATGCTTTCGCGGACCCACGTGAAACGATGGGTTGTAGAATGAAATTAAGTAAACTAATACAAGTCGGTCCAAATCGGGTTCGGTTGGAGATCAATATCTCAGCCGCGAGTGTACTACCATCCGAGCTAAGTTTCGGCAGTGCCTCTGCTAGGCCCCCAAATTTACTTTTCACGTAAGATTCCCAGAATCCACATGCCTGGACGCTGCCTTTAAAGTCGAGTTCAACCACGTAGAAAAGCGTAGATGTAAATGAATCATTTATCATTCGCAATGCACAGAACGCATCCCAAGATGGGTCTTCGTCGCCCACGAACAAACAAAAAACTCGTCAGAAAATGCAAAAGGTACGTTTTGTTTTTGTTCGAACTTTTGTGTTCTCCTTCTATGGAAGTAAAGCAGGTCGCTATTCTTTCATCCCACATAGTATATTGAATGTTTTATTTATTCTTATACCAAAAATTCGGACAACTGTTAACTGGACCTATTTTTCAGAATAGAAATTACGCTTTAGTCTGGATCTCAAAATTCATGGGAATGTCTATCTGCCACGTGCGAAATAAAAAATTCCCACTTGTATTAGTTGAGTTCAATATGTTTTTCAGAATCGTTCTAGGGAAGGTGCGAGAGCATATAACTCAAAAGCTGTTTAGGTTTTCATATAAGAAAATAGTCCAAAAGAACATCCTGATCGCTTTTGACAATAATCAAAAAAATCTCTCCTTTAATTATAGCCGCCATGCAATTCAAGCTAGAAAACAATCCAGTTGAACTCAGACAATCACAGGCTCTCAGCGGGCCCCACCAAAAGCGTCGTTGCCTTATCGCAGCCACTGTCGCTTCCCGCTGAGAGCTTTGTCGGAGCTTTGTCGGAGCTTGTCGGAGCGGGCTCACTGCCCGCTGAGCCCGCTCCGACAAGCTCCGACAAAACTCCGACAAAGCTCTCAGCGGGAAGCGACAGTGAGGCGATGAGGCCACCGCGCTTTTGGTGGGTCTAGGCGGTGGCTTTGTGGCTGCCGGCTGAGAGCATTTGATTGTCTGAGAAGGCTTGAAGTACCTTGGTGGCAGTTGTTTTGCCGCTCAGATGATGGAATTCTAGCGCATTTTTCTGCTGTGGGCAAATCTAACATGCTCCAGGAGAAAACGGGGTGGCATTTATATAATTTTGATGTTCATAATCAAAATTGGTGGATTAGAAATGGGGTCATCATTGATCAGAAAACGGTATGACTTACATTGTTAGTTGATTTGCACAAAAGCTTGAGGAAACTGTCAAACATGTTAAACATTTGTGAATTTTTTTGAAACCTGGTTGAAAATAACCAGGGTTGAGCGCGGGGTCAGGGGCGCCCGACCTGGGGAGTCGCATTGGAGGTAAGACGGGAGGGGGGGGGGGGTCTCAATCGAGAACGGATTTTGTTTAAAAATCAAGATACTACGATCGAGTAAGGTGAAGAAGAGACCGCAAGACCAGTGAAAATCACTATTCCACCGGAGAGGGAACTACTGTCGTGAACTGCATATTGGTTAATTCCGCTAAGGCTCAATTTGAACACTGTGCTGGAACTGTTCCCGAACTTCGGGATCGCAGCCTAAGAAGTCTCAGCCAAATTTCATATCTTCATCTCTTACCTCACACATACGGTAATCACCAAAGAGACTTGCTGTGTAATATGAGTATGATTTCCGTAATCAGCATGCCAAATTACCTATACGAGCTCTCTAAACCACCACCTATCACATTTTCCTAACTCTAGAAAGCGTGATTTTCAAACATGATTAACTTGGTTACAAAAGTAAAAGAAAACTGCTTTCTTATGCTAAGAACGAAGTCATACTCGTTTTTAGTCTATGGTAGAAATAAGATCTCCTATCGCTTTTAAGCGAATCAAGAAGTGCTGCCAAAATTTCAATCACCGCGTTTTCCACCTCGAGTGCTTCAACTCCACCGATCACCACAAAGCCGGAACAAGCCAAGTGAGCTCAAAGACCTACTCTAGAATACTCGAGGTTTGTGCTAGCGAACCACATAAAACTAGGGTGGAAAAGATTCTTCAGTGATAAAGTTAATCGGCTTCGGCGCAGCCCCTCGAAAAGTCAGCCCGCCTGAGCTTTTGTAGCCTTGCGCCTGACCCCCTCAACATGTCTTCAAAATACAGAGATCCCTCCATTCTTGGTATGATTATTAAGCTCATAGCTCCTTCTTGTTAGAATGAAAACTTGGAGGGGATTTTGATGCTTACATCAAAATCACTCGTCAAATTAGGTGTGAGTGTAAAGTGCAATGGGGCTTCTAGGGAATGGGGGAGGGGGTCATTTTCGAAGGACTTGTGCCTGATCCCTTGCTCAACTCTGAAGATAACCTCTTTCCGTGAATCTAGATATGGGAAGAAAAGCGATATCCTTTTTGATAAAATGGGTCTGGATAAAGGGAAAGTAACAAAACTTCTCAACGTTATCCTTGTACTTTTACCCTGTTTATAGTCTCTGCTCTTTGCTGTAAAAAAACCATCTCTTTGCTTCTTCTAAGCTTAGCCACATTTTCGTAAAAATGGAGAAGGTGGACACCAAATTTTAGAAAATGACTTTGCTTGTCTGTGACCGCAGATGCTCAAAGTAATTCACATTGAGCTTCCTTTATCAAACCTTTGCATTTTGGCAGAATTTCTGATCGCTTGGAAAATCAGTAAAGGTATTGTCAAACGAAAACGATCTTGGAAGCAAGGTTATCATAGGGTTCCTTCATAGTACGCTCAGAATGCAGCAGCCTGCCGCAGCCTGCGGCGTACGCCGATGCTGTCGCAGCGAAAATATGCTTATGCCACCACAATTTTCCCCACACAACAGCTTTGTGGTACGTGTAGAATCTGAAGTGAACCAAGCTTGGTGAAAATGGGATACCAAATTCAATCTGATTAAAGAACAATCGAGACGTTAGTAACTTTCCTCGTAGGTTAGTCGCTTCGTTTATTTCGCATTTTAGATTTTGTGCTGGAATAACTCAGTTATTGGTGCTTTGGCATTAGTTTCTGGAACAGCTGTTGCCGCTGTTAGCACCATTACTGCTGTGTCTCTATGATTGTGACAGTCTTGTTACCAGTGTTATTTTTGTCACCGCTTTTACATTATTAGCGATAGACATGTGGCCAGATCCAACAGCGGTAATAAACCATGCAAAAAACTTCTTTTGCGCTACACTTTATTCTCAGCCAATAATGCCGCTTGTTATGTACCTCAACAGTTTTCGGATACCTTGCCGCGAATAGTCGACTCATGGGTTAGCTTGATGAAGATAGAAACGATGCGAATCGTTGAAAAAATTCCGAATTTAATGCTTATATGCCCATAATCAGGCAGAGAGCAGCATGAGCACATGAAAATTGACTTACTCGTTTCCCCAGCTCAAAACATAGAAGAGGCATAGTAGGAGACATGCGCCGAGCACATCGCCAATCGAGGTCACCATCGGTATTGCGTGCATGTCAGGATCTAATCGAAAATGATGCAAGGAATACACAAGAATTTGCCCAATGTACAGAAGAATGAGCGTCTAAACATTTATCTAGTAAACTTCCTTTGCAGCATATGAGTACGATCTTACTTGTACAAAAGCGACGCATATGAATCCAACTACAAAAAGAATGTTCAATTTTAGGGGTTTCAAGAAAACATAGGCAATCAAGTGCGTGGCAATAAAGTACAGGGCGTAGAAAGGTACGGAAGTCAACAAAATAAACAAGGCGGCTCTGCTTTCGGTATCTGCAAATTGATAATTTGACGAAAGCAGCGATGAGAAAATATCATACCTGGACTTGTGTAATAATTCCAAAGATTCAGACGTATTCCTACAATTCTTGCATTGTCAGAGTTTGTGGTGTTCACATAGGAGGAAATTCTTGAACATTGTAACCCCGCACGATTCCCGGATGCTCCTGTAAGAAAAGTATTTGAGCGTACTATAGTAAGCATTACTAGCAAGAAAGAGTTTTTTGATTTGATGTGAACGTAGGGACTTTACCATTTATCAGAGGCTGGTACACACTTAGCTCTGGAAAACTTTTAAGCCCATACTCGTGTATCACACCTGCTGCGCTAAAATGGATTGCATCTATACATTTGTACTTTTTGAACTAGAAGTAGGATGGAGAACTGTGAAGAACACCAAGAAATTAGGGTAAGCTGTGATCGCAAAACTTACAAGGAAAGGATGGATACATAGATTTTCCTTTTGAGATGAGACGCATATATTTGGAGTAATCTTGAAACGCTGATTCCAAATATGCTGCTCCTGGCTGCCGCGTCATTTTAAAGCAAATTATTTTGGAAGCGAATCTTTTTTCTGAGCAGAATTTGCGTGCTCATCGACTTACTGATACTACGGTTCGACGTTTAGGTGGATTTAAAAGTGCATAATGCTCGCTTCCAAGATAAAAAACCTACCCTATTTTCAGGTGTATAAGCCGCACCCTTTTTGCTCTAAACGCGAGCAGACCCAGCGTGCCGCCGCGCATATGTCTCGCGAAGCGGTCGCCTTATCGCATACTGCTCTCACTTAACGCGCTCCATGATGACAGTCAGTCTTTTGGCGTGTTCGTCTTTAGAGTGAAAAGGGTGCGGCTTATACACCTGAAAATAGGGTAGTCTGATGCTAGTCCAAGACGCTAGCACTTTTTTCGCTTTTTCCCAACTACAGGCCGCCTTACCCTATATATAAGTATGTCAATTACTCATAGTAGCAGGCTCATAACTCGCTTTAGGATGATGCTCAGCAGCCAGAACAGCATATTTGGAATCAGCGTCACAAGCTGATTTCAAACATATTTGTCGCATCTCAAAAGGCAAATTTGAGTTGGTATCCTTCCCTAATCAGCCTTTTTCAGGCACTGTATATGTCTAACACTCCGCTGATTTTTTGCACTAAGGCTATTTATGCAGGGTGTCCGTAAAAAATGTGCCTACTGTTTGATTGTGAATAACTCTCTTCTAACGAAGTCTTTCGAGAAGCTTTAGGCACCATTTTGTAGAGCTGGCTTCAACTTAGATTTACAGTATAGAGCGAATCGCCGATCTCTCATTCTTACTGTAGGATTACGGTAGAAACTTTGAACTCATTTTTCAGCTTTTTTTCGCGTATTTTTTGAGTTAAGCGAAGGTGCAGTATGCACAGTACGCATACCGTAATTTTTATCGACAAATTACAGTAATGGGGATGTTGCGATTAGAATCAGCATCCTCAAGAATCTTAGTCTGGACTTTCTCAGAATTTAGAAAGGTTTTTGTGCAAGAGTTTTCTGGCTGTGAAAGGCTGAAAAATGAGTTCAAAGTTTCTACCGTAATCCTACAGTAAGAATGAGAGATCGGCGATTCGCTCTATACTGTAAATCTAAGTTGAAGCCAGCTCTACAAAATGGTGCCTAAAGCTTCTCGAAAGATTTCGTTAGAAGAGAGTTATTCACAATCAAACAGTAGGCACATTTTTTACGGACACCCTGTATAATATGCTAGTATGTATTCACAATCAGCATGCTAACATACCCATGTGCCAACCCCAGCCCCGTAGCTCAAAGTCTTCAAAAAAATCAAAAAAAAAATCATCAAAATCATCAATCAAAACCAAAATGGGTGTGTAGATGGGTAATGGGGGAATAGTACTATGTGCAAAAAATTATGAAAGAGTTATGCGATTCAAAGTCGCGGCAAAATTTTTCCGGAGTTAGGTGGCTTTACAGCCACCTGGACAGCCAGCTGAAGTGGCTGTAAAAAGAAGAAGTCATAAATTTCCCTTCCTTCACATAATTTTTTCACAAGTTTAGCATATCTTTGTTGTGCATCAAAAACCCTATAAATGAGTTTTTGAATCTCCCCAAACCCCCTCCTCCTCGCCTAGTTGCAGCCCTCTAATCTTGTATGGCTGCGGCAAGCCTGCTCCGAGCGCGGAACGGTGCGCGCCGGACACAGCATGCCGCCAATTCGGAGAATACGAAATTCTTTAGATCCTTTTCGTTTGCTTATGCTGCTTTTGAGTTTTGTTTCATTATTTTTTGTTATTCGTGATTGAGCCATTCCTGATCGCGTCACAGGTGATGTCGTATTTGTGTAGCGAAATCGGCGGGGACTTCGCTTTCGCAAAATTGAAAAAAGCCACCTCATGCCGAGCTCTGACTTTTATTGCGTATGTTCCAAGGTTTTTGAGTTTGAGCTTGTTTCTCAAAAACAGTGCCTTCATCATACATAATTTCTGTTCAAGGCTCAAACTTCGAAAACAGAAAAGAAAAAAATGTTGTCAGATTTCATTTTGAAGCGTGAATGTACGATTATAGCTTAAGCGAGCTGTTTTCAATAAAAGCAACAAACCTGGACAGAATTGAAGCCAGGAAGAAAGTGGGCATTTGCTGACGTGCGGCCGCCCACGCGCCTTGTTCAAGGTCTGAAGTATCTTTCTTTAGATAAGCAAGATAAATTGTTCCAAGGCCCTTTAATCTGTAAACACCCACGTGTTACAAATAACCAGAATGGCATCAGTGCAACAAAGCAGACTATGACTGATGAAGGTACTAGAATTGAAACGGAGGCGAGCGGATGATATACCACCGCTATACCTGCCTGTAAAACATGGTTATCCTGCGGCTTAGTTACAAAATTCTCCCATTTTATTGGCAAAAAGTGGAAAGAAATCCTGTAAAACTTTTTCAACTCGAGACATCCACTAAAAAGTACATTTGCGATCATTTTTCAATTTGGAGCACATGGATTATAGATTTCCATGTTTAAAAGATACATCTACTTCGCGGACTTGCGTACCCCATTTTGCGAATAAAAGCCAGTTGCGAAGAAATCATGCAGCTTTATCCGTTGTCCCTCTGCGTAGTGTAACTAGATACATGCGTAGTAATGCATGTGTACAAAAAGTGATTTGAAAATTTGCCTTTAACTCGCTCTTTAATTGTGGCAGCTAACACGCACACGTGTAAACAACCGTTATTATAAGTCGAAAGTTTCAAGACTATCAATACTCGCATTTCTATAGTTATTGGAAAAGTCATGAAACGGCTGTAGAAAAGTGATTTACCATTGCTCCAATAGCCAATAAGTCTCCCAAGCTAGAAGCCAATGGCGTTGCAACGTTGTCGGGATCCATGGCATACGTATACGACCATATGATAATGAGGACCAGTGCTTGAAAAAAATAAAGTGAAAGTCGGCTGTCATTTGTTTCTACTTTAGAAATTCGGTTTGCATTGAAATTGAGAATTCTAAAAATTTGCCTAGATTCTCACTATTGCGATCAGAACGCATTTCGCGGCTCTTTTTTGTTCCACTGTTTTATTCAAGTTTCTAGTTCAATGAATGTTTTTAGATCTCTTCGAATCTGTTAAGCAGTTCAGTTTTCCTCTTACAAGCTTATCGATATGAAAATCTTGAACAAGAAAGATGAATTTGTGTTATGTACTTGAAGTTCCAGCGGATAATGGACTTCCATTATGTGCTGTGCTGCGCACAGATTATGTTTAAGGTATCTTGGCCGAGGATTATTCTTTTGAGTTTAGTTTAGCCTCAACATTCTAGACCAGCTACCTACCTGCCGATGATATGAAACACGAAGCAGACATAGCAAAAAGTGCCGTGGATCCAAGAAAAAGAAAATTTTTCAACGACATCTCTTCAAATTCTCTCCCTTCATGCTCCTTCATTGGAAAAATGTTTAGAGCGAATGTGATAAGCGCAGCAAAAAGACTTATACCCACTGACTGAGCCTAAATAGATAGTTTTGTAGCAAAATCACTTTATTCAAACAAGAATCAGCTGTAAAATGTCCGTAAGAGTGTTTTTGACATTGCTATTCAAAGAAACAAGTTTGAAGCCTTGTGTTATCAAGAGTTCGCAAAGAGTTGAAGTTTTTTTTGCATAGAAAGCACTGCAAAAGCACACCTGTACTAGAGCGATGTTAACGAAGATGTGGTGTATAAGCCCAGACTCCTCCGCAAACGACCTTGATGAGCCTAAAAAGAGAACTTGTGAAATCTTGAACATAAACGACTAATACCTCCGTAGTGAACCGCGATGTGAAGGTCATATCAAGGTTTCCCTTGAGATCCATCAAAGGTGTGCATATTGCCATGAATTGTGGCACCTTGAAAGTAGAGACATAATGCCAGGAAAGGATAGAGTGTATTCCAGAAATAGAAATTTACCTCGCATACAAATCGCATTTTTTGAATTTGTTTAAGAAGTAAACCGGCTAGTATGAATCCTAATCCACCCACAAGAAAGGGAACAAATGACTGAAAAAGACTAGAATATAAGTGAAAAGTTGCGTTTTTTAGCCTAAAATCTCATGTATATATGCAGGAAGTCTTACGATGTTTAGTTCACAAGTATCAAAATATGAGTACCCTAATTTCTCGTGTACAAGGCGCATCTTTCTCGATTTTTCAAATGAGCCGCTTAGCCGCTTCACTGCATCTCGGGAAGAGATTTTTATGCCATACAATTCTTTCAAGCAATATACTACAGCAAGGTCTAGGGTTCTTTGGTTACGAAGTCCTTCGGCGCGGTTGGCCTCGTCAATTTTGGAAAAATTCCCTTCGTGCCTTGTACGCGTGAAATTAGGGTAATTCAATGAACCATCATTATCTCAGTCTCGGTGATCTCAAGGTGGCTCATAACGCTAGTTTTGCAAACTTTTTTCTATCATTATTGCATCGATTATTGTGACGCTCCACAGTGATGACGCCTGCTTTAGCGGAGGATCTCCAACAAGAAAGTACCGTATGGATTTTTAGAAGGGCCCTCTCAGATTCGCATAATCGTAGTTCCTTCAATATACATGCTATTTGTTGCCCATGTCAGAACAACCTGAACAATCCTGGTCGCAGTGAAAACAAGGGAAATAGAGGTATCAGAAATAAATTTAAGGTGAAAGAATAATAAGTTGGCTGGAAGTCGATCAAGTTTACGCACTCACAACCCGTTTTTTTGTGGTATACAGATGTGGGATTAAATGCCAACGATGGAGATCCGCTAAAAATCCTTGCAGGTGATTTGGGCCAGCTTCCCAGTTTTTGTTATTGATAAGAATCGAAAAAGTTTTGGGAAAGGTTCACTTTGAGAACTTAAACTCATTACACAACCTCACACATGTTTTCGACCTGAAGTACAAGACTCTAAAGAAACTTATACAGAAACACAATAGGAGCAACCACCAATAAAATCACATGATGAAGCAGTGCAAGAATCACTCCATATTGACTTACAAAGGAAAGGACCAATCATCGAATTATGGCGAGATGAATCTGTCGCCAGAAGAAGTCATCTTTGCGATATTACAGCCATAATCAACCTCATTACAGATTTGTGCGTACAAGCTCAGCAACCTACATCTAACAAGGGAACGATCCCAACTTAAGGTGGCGAATTGGAATGAACCGCATATCATTGAATGCGTCTTGATGAGCTGATTCCAAGTCTACCCTCCGTATCTGCGACATCGTTATCTGGAAGAAGTTATGAAAGGTTAAAAATGTGGAGTAACGGGTGTTTTGATGCATAATTTGCTTTAAAATCCAACTTGGAAGTGCACGACTAGCATCATATTGAGTGTACTGTTTTGGAATGCTCAACTGTAAAGAAACACAAATAAGTGTTTTTGAACAACTAATTTGGGAGGTATTGCGCTGTATAATTGCCACATTTGGACTTTTCATTGCTCATAGCTTTTACCAAAGAACTTTAGTTGCTTTTTAGCTGGTCAAAAACATTTATTTGCGTTTCTTTTAAATGTGAGTATTCCGTAAAATCAATACACTCAATATGATGCTAGTCGTGCACTTCCAAGTTGGATTTTAAAGCAAATTATGCATCAAAACACCCGTTACTTCACATTTTTAACCTTTCATAACTTCTTCCAGATAACGTTGTCGCAGATATGGAAGGTAGATTTGGAATCAGCCCATCAAGACGCATCTAATGGTATGCGGTTTATTCCAACTCGCCACCTTAAGTTGGGATCGTTCCCTTGTAAGAAAAGAACGAAGAAAAATACGCTCGTGCGCTAAAATTCTTGCACATGACTCCGCTCTATAGTGAATTCAGAGCTCTCCAGTCGAATTAGTACCCGTGAGCATTTCAAGTCCATCGCTATTTTTCAAAAAAAAGTCATTACATATACTTAACTTGCAGTTCATTAAAATGCGATCAGATTCAATAGAAGTTATTGTTACGACAAGATTGTGTATCTGCAAAAGCTCTAATCGCAACAGTTTTACCCTTCTCTAAGCAAGCTTCTAATGGTTTTATGCTCCAGTCGTATTACATCTTCCAAAGTGAAGGGCGATTTCTATGATAAGCAAGATCATTCTAGTGCAACCACTCGAAGCGATGCTCTAAGCATGACGTCCTCAAGGTAATCGCGAACTGAAACGATCATCAGCAACTCCGAGATGCTTATTTTTACATCTTGACTCAAGTCTAACATGGGAAGACAAAATCAAAAGATTTTGACGTTTTTTTCATTCTTGACTCTTTGTCACAGAGATAAACGTTCACAAACACATTTTCTAGGATCTGTCCCATAGTTTATGTAATAGATATTTGAGTCAACAGTTGTCCAATCTATATAAGGGTTAGTTGGCATTAGCTACGCTTACACAAAAGTTGAATTGGTATGGGCAGACATTCATAAAGAAGTCATTTGTTACACAGACGTGCCGTAAATATGGAATGGACCCGCGCGTTTATGCAATTGACGCTGAACATATAGAGTATGATGATGCTACGCCGCTAGTATTGCAGTTGAGCTCTTTTCACAGGTAGAACGGCCCGAAATTGAGGTGATGAAAAACACACTTGATACACAACATCCATTGCGTTTTCATCCAGCTTCTCATTTGTTCTCACTCTTTCTTCCTTCTTCTGTAAAGTAAGCTATTTTTGCATATCCCAAAAGCATTGATCACTTACTGATGGCTCTACACTTCCTGGTTTTTCACGTAATTGAGCTGTGGTCTCTCCAACGCCGGAAATGGGTGCTATATGTAAAAGGGTATGCTCTTGTTCAAGTTCGTTGGAGGTCGTAGGTTTAAGTCGATCATTTCTTGTTTCATGTGATGATTTGTTTTGCGATAGCATTATTTTTAATTCTCTTAAATTATCCTTTTCCCTAAAATAAATTTTATGTGTAAACTACAACAGAGTATTGAATTACGTATTTTGCCTATTCAAAGTGTCTGCGGGCTGATTAGGCGAGCGAAGTAACAGAAGCGAAACGACAAGGTCTTGGAAAGCTTCAAGGCAGTCTTATATCAAACAAACCTCCAGATCAACTTCTGAAACTTCCATTCAGCCGCATCGCCTGACAGACCACTCCCATAATTTTTCCTCTAATTTGCTTTTCTCAAGATTTTTTGAAACGTGAACGGGCAAGGAAGCGTTTGCATCCTGCGCATCATCAGTACAAATATCCATAGTTGCTCGTAGCTATCAATCCTCAGTCTTCAAAGCTTAAGTCCTCAAAACTCGGTGCTACTGTTCCAAGGATCAATGTAACTATCGATATATGGTCATACGCCTCTTCTCCATGATTGCACGGTTTGGAAATATGAAAGAGAGGGAGGTCAATCAAAAAAGAACTTGATCGTCTGATCAACATTTGATCAAAAAATTGATGTGAGGTTGATTACGGTATGCAGAAGATGGCCGTTTCCAGTGTGTACCGCAGAAACAAAGAGAAAAGAAGGGATGGAAAAGGTTACTGCTGACTTCGTTTTGTTAGAAATAGGAAAGGCAAGTTATTTTATTTGGTTTGTCTGATAGACAGGCACTCATTTTTGACATTCATCTTTGGATTTCCAGTAATGACTTAGCTCCTATCATTATGTGGGCTTTACGTTGCACATAAGACTTGATAATTGCGTGGCACTCAGTGACGTCCGTTACGACCAAATGTGCGGGCTTGTCGTTAGCCGGTGGAATCGAGGTTCGTTCGTTTCGTGGCCTTAATGGACTCATGCTGCGAGTCCTAAACAACTAGGTCTAGAATGACAGAGTGGGAGGAGGCGCTTTAAAGATGGTGAGCAAGTCAAAGAGCCTACAATCCGTTTTCAGACCTCTGGGCCGGTAGTAATCCCCCGACCTGGCGGCAGGTCTCGTCGGCAGGTCGCTGGCACCTTTTCCGTGAGGTGGCCAGAAAGTGGAACCCCAAATTTGGGCGGTCCCAGGCCTATTTCCAAAAAATTTTCTCGATAAAGATGCCGCCTAGACTCTGTAGAAAACTCCATAGAAATCTGCGGTTCTAGAAATCCTCCTGTAGGAAAATATCTGGAAGCGCAGAAGGAGCTGCCGGCAACTTCGCGATGTAAGTTGCCGGCAACCTGCCGGCAGCTCGTCGAAATCCGCGAGATGGCAGCTGCCGGCAGGTCAGAGAGCACGGGAAATAGCGTGCTCTTTCGAGAGAGGGAGCTGCCGGCATCTCGACGTGCCCCTACCACGTCGAGGTGGTGGCACCTTTGCCGGCGGCGTCTGCGAGTTTGCGAATTGCGGCGGTATCACACAATTTACGTCACGCGAAAAAATCAAAAATTCTACTTTTCATCAAAAAACTGTCATTTTTCTCATTGTATGAGTTTTTCTTTTTTAAAACGACGATTTTCTTACAGAAAAAATCCAGTAATGCCCTAGAATCATAAAGAACACCATCTTTTTTGGCAATCCCTTATAAATCTCGTTTGCACCGATTTCGCCCCTCTCTCGCTCAAATCAATCAGCTGTTCTTTCAGGTCAAAGTCTCTCACGCAATGTATCGATCCCTCTTACAGGCAGCCATTTACCAGCGCGTTCCTCCTATTGCTGGTGCAAACGGCAATGGCTGACCGAATGGTTGAATGGTTAACGTGGTGGCACTTCAAGTTAACGCACGTAGGTTCGATCGCGCGCGAGGTAGCAATTTTGCGGCTATCTGCGTCATCTAAATTTAATGTGCGAAATGATTGAGTGCCAAGGTTACATAAGATTATTAAAACCTAGAATCACTCCGCGAGCTGCCGGCGGAGTTGGCATCTTTCCGTGATGTGTGCCAACTTGCCGGCATCTATGATGCCACCAGGTAGGGTAGATTACTACCGGCCCTGATGACGACGACATTGTCGAAGCGTAAGGTCAATAAAGTCTTCACCACAGAATCTGAAGGCACAAACTACTAACACATTATTCTACTGACATCTTACCATGCCCAACGAAAGAGAAATTAACTTACATATACAAGACCTGTTTACAATGAAGAAAAAAATGAGAAGACACCAGAACTGGTGTGTAGGTGGGCAATAGGGAGTTAGGACTATGTACGAAGAATTATGAAAAAATAATGTGAACTGAAGGGGCGGCAAACTTTTCTCGGAGTTAGGTGGCTTTCCAGCCACCTGGACAACCACCTGAGGCGGCTGTGAAAAGAAAAATTCATAAATTTTCCTTCCTTCACATAATTTTTTCACATGTTTTACATAACTTTCTTCTCTATCAAAAACCCTACATTTGAGTTTTTGAATCTTCCTAAACTCCTTCTTCCTCGCCTAGTTACAGCCCTCCAAGTATTTTGCACGGCGGTAGCAAGCCTGCTCTAAGCGCACAAGGGTGCGCGCCAGACACAGCATGCCGCCAATTCGGAGAACGAACATTTTTAGTTCTTTTTCGTTTGTCTAATGCTGTTTTTATATTTTGTTTGTTCCATTATTTATCGTTATTCATTTTGACCCATTTAGGCTTTGGCCATACTTTGCCCGTGTTGCCGATGTTTCCAGTGTTGCCAGTGTTGAAAGTGTTGCCGGTGTTGCAAGTGTTGAAAGTGTTACCGGTGTTGAAAGTGTTGAAAGTGTTGCCGGTGTTGAAAGTGTTGAAAGTGTTGCCGGTGTTGGAAGTGTTGAATGGAGATCATCAGTCTAGCAGTTTCATTCTTTCTCGAACGATCTCACCGGCTGGTGAATACATTGGAAATGGAATTGGGGAATGAGAAATGAAACTGAAATGAGATGGGGAATGTTTTCGCATGCAAAAGATCCTCAAACAAACTTTTTGAAAAGTGGACGGCTTGTCTGAAATAGGCAATCTCCAATATTTGAGAACGCTGCAGACCTCACTGACCTAGGTCCTTACTCACTAATCGCAAGCGCGGCAGGATTCGAACTAAAACACATTACTACTCAGACGTTAGCTTTCTCAAATATTGGAGATTGCCTATTCCAGACAAGCCGTCCACTTTCCAAAAAGTTTGTTTGAGGATCTTCTGGCGAAAATCTTCCCCATCTCATTTCAATTTCATTTCTCATTCTCCAATTCCATTTCCAACGTATTCACCAGCCGGTGAGATCGTTCGAGAAAGAATGAAACTGCTAGACTGATGATCTCCATTCAACACTTTCAACACCGGCAACACTTTCAACACTTTCAACACTGGCAACACTTTCAACACTTTCAACACCGGTAACACTTTCAACACTTTCAACACTGGCAACACTGGAAACATCGGCAACACAGGCAAAAGTATGGCCAAAGCCTTATGATCGCGTCATAGGTGATGTCGTATTTTTGTGGTGAAGTCTACGAGGACATCGTTTTTGAAAAATTGAAAAAGCCACTCATGCCGAGCCTTGCTCAACATGCTGCAGTATTGATGTAGATAATACTAAAGTAGGACCCTCCAAATTTTGAGTAGAGAAGAATGTATCAACCGTGCGAAGAACTCCACTACTACCATTTTTCCTAGATGGTTTTTGACAAACAACGCAAAGATGACTGCGTTACTATGAAGCTTTGTTGCCACAAACGCTCAATCGTTTGGTTTGGTGAGTCATTGTGAGTCACAGGCAGGGTTGAGCGTGGGGTCAGGCGCGCCCGACCTGGGGGGTCGTACTGGGGTAAGACAGAGGGGGGGGGGGTCGTGATTAGGAATCGAATTCGTTCGATTGAGGAGATACTACGATTAAGGTGAAGAAGAAAAGCGCTAGTTTAGTGGATATCGCGACCTCACCAGTACTGAAGGAATGAACGGTTTAAACAGCATACTGATTGATTTCACAATCGAAGTTTCGGCCAAAACTCAAATCTTCATCTTCTACCTTGACATATTATAAATTCATCAAGGAAGCTTGCTGTGTGAAATGGATATCATTTCCGAGCACGTCAAATTACCTCTATGAGCCCTACAAACCCTTATTTACTGCATTATCTAGTGTTTCTCAACGACTAAAAAGCGTGATTTTCAAACATGATTAACTTGTTTTCAAAAGTGAGAAAAGTCAGTTTTTTTGTACTCATAACAAAGTATTGTTCCCCACTAGTCTAGGCTAAAAATCGCGCTTTGTATCGCTTGCAAATAGCGGAGTAAGAAATAATGCCAAAATTCCGACCGGCGCGTTTTTCGCCATGACTGCTTTAACTCCACGGATTACCACAAGGCCGAAACAAGTCGAATCAAGTACAAACACTTACTGTGGAATCTTCGAGGGTTGTGCTAGCGTTTCACATAAAACTTGAATAAAAAAGCTTCTTCAATGATAAAGTTAATCAGGTCAGGCGCAACCCCACAAAAGGTCAGGCCGCCTGAGCTTTTGAGGGGTTGCGCCTGACCCGATTAACTTGTTTTCAAAATCTAAAAATCGCTCCATTTCTGCTATGAGTATTGAACTCAAAGCCTCTTCTTGCAATACTGCAAATTTGGAGCCAAGCAATACACCCCTGTGGGAATTATAGCCCTAAAGTAGGGCTATCCAAAATCCAAAACTTGCCGTCAAGTTGCGTGTGCTGTGCAATCGCAGAAAGCCGACTTACAGACCTCCAAAAAACAAGAACTCCCAAAAACGGCTGATCTCTTCGAATTATCACAGCCTGAGGTCCTGGAGGTGAAGCAGAGGGGTCGTTTAGGGGCTTTCACTGGGGGGGGGTCGTTTTGGAAAGACTTGTGCCTGACCTCTTGCTCAACCCTGGTCACAGGTCAGCTGACAACAGGTACCGCAGCCGCTTTGCCGCATACCGCGCTCAGATTTTGTGCCCATAAAAAATTTCCGGGCCAAAGTGGAACGACGGGGGACTAGAGTGTGAGCTGGAACGACGGGGGACTAGAGTGTGAGCAGATACATAGATCGATGCTATAAGTGACATTGTGAGAGGAGTAGGGGCTGATTTTTGTACTGGGCGAAAGTCCGCTCTATTCCGTACCACTCTTGATCCGCACTCGGTTTTGTGCAAAACGATTGAGAGAACGCAGTAGTGTCAATTTTCGCCGTATGCGAGAGTATGCGCTAACTTCCCTTACCGTTAGCGGCATGGCGGCGATTTGTGTCTCGACAGCAGCATAAAAGCAGCTTGACACACGTACAAGAAAAATCGAGCCAGACTTTGCAGCATGCGCCGAGAACGCAACATTCGCTGGGCAAACCAACACTTGCATCAACACTGCTCAATTTTTGGTGACCAAG